AAAAAAAAAAAAATGGTAATCTGGTTGCCGAGTTCACGAAGTGAATTGGCTTGTTTTACAACGTCGTTGCCAAGCGACGAAAACCCAACCCCGATGGCAAACACCGACGGGGGGGGGAGAGGGGGGCGGGGAGAAACCATCATCAAAACATACGCCAGGGTCGAGAGCTCATGAAACATTGCCCCGCACGCGCGCTCGGACTTGAGCACTCTACCACCCAGGAACGACACGACACGCTCGACGCTATTGGGCTCCGTTGGAAAAAACCGCAAAACCCGGGTTTGCAAAATGCTTGGCGCCAAGGGTACATGACAGCCTTCCATTCCACACAACTGCTGCTGCCCCCCCACACCAGAAACGAGCGTGTTTTCGGCAGTTTGGGGGTGGTGTGCAAGTTCAATTCCCGGACAAAATGTACGACAATCCCCATGATCTGCATATGAAACGAAGCGCCTTGCCATTCGAAACAATGCTGCGCAGGGGGCCGTGGAAACACAAGGTGGTCATCAAACAACAGTATGGATCCATCGCTAATTTATCCCGGACCCTGGTATGTACCCCCTTCCCGTGTGACCCTGGATGGTTGTCGTCGTACGAAAAAATACGCTGAACAGTGTAGTACTCTACATACCCTGAAAAGTGTAGTACATGTCTCACCACGAAGAATGGGGGGACTGTCGCCATAATAATAGGACGAAAACACACTGTTGTGAAATGAATTTGTTTGGTTTCTGAAGGCAAAAAAAAATATTCCTTAACAACAGTACTAAACTTACAGCTGGTTCGGGTTGGTCGTGGGGTTCAGTCCTACGCCCTCCACGACGGCGACGAATCGTTGGGCGGCCTCGCGAGCGGCCTCCACACCCGCGGCCCCCGTGATCACCACCTTGCCCGAAGAGAACAAGAGGCCGGTAGCCTGCGGCTCTCGTATTCTCATCACCTGTCAGCAGTTCGTTTCGCGTAGCGTTACAAAGCGGGCAGGGGGTCAAACGCACGACGGGGTTATGTACCAATTGACGATGACACTCAGCGTGTCAAGTCTCGGCGATCTCATCTACGCTGAAGACAATCCTTCTTGCGTTGCGACGGACGCTACAGTTTCTGTTTCTGTTGCTCCCATGATTCCTTCGTAGTTTTGTTTGCCTACGCTGTGGCGTTGGCCCTCGAAAGGAAGGCCTCACAACACGGGGGTGACACCAACAAAATGGTTCTGCGCTGCTTGCCGTAGAACTTAGATACAAGCGAGGGGACTCCAGCCGTCCTTCCCTCAAGTCTTCCGACGAACATACGCCTCGCCGAGAGTCGAACTCCCGACCGTAGCCATCGCGTGGTTTTGTCAACGTCCTCGATACGAGGGGCACACCGTGTACGACACAATACAACACACCCCCTGGACATTTTTTCAAATCTTGATTTTACCAACAGCAGAAAGAATCACAGCGCCGAAAACGGCGGCATTGAAACCGTCTGGTCGAGATCTCTCCGAAAACGTATCGTTTCGTTCATGCATCCACCTCGTCGTGGAGTAATTAAGCTTTGAAAATCGGTCCAGGGAGTGTGTTGTCTTGTGTCATATGCGGTAGACATACACACAGCACGACAGCTGTCGCTGCACTTACCACAGCGGGTAGCTTCTTCGGGTTGTACTCGGCGTGCCTGATCTTGTTCGCCAGGCTAGAGGGATCGATGGTGATGCGCATGTTGACCGTCGCCGTCACATTCTGGAGCACGACTCGAACAACCGGCTGGCAAGGAAGCACGGCGGTAGTTCGGGCATCGAGGAAAGGGTGTTGGTTCAGGCCCAACATATCCGTCGATTCGGCCTTGTTCAGGCAATGTGCCTGCGGCGACTCGAACAATCGGCTGGCAAGGAAGCGCGGTAGTTTCGGGCATCGCGGACTGGGGGTTTGGTTCAGGCCAAAAATGCCCGTCGATCCGGCGTTGGTCGGGCAACGTGCCTGCTGAAGCCCAGGGCTCGTTTTGAGCACTGCGGCATAATGTAGCACCATGCTCACGGCCGACCGTTGCTGCCGCTGCGGTGCGAAGTCGAGTTTCTCACGTGCATCTGGGTGGAGCATGGATCTTGCGAGACGAACGGACGAACCTACATGTGGCCGCAACGATTCAAGGTCACACTGCCAGCAAGCAGTAATTACCAAACGATGCCAAGTCTACAAGTAGTCTGCCTACAATCCCTATTCTAGACATCCGCCCCATTCTTTACTGCTGAGGAAGACTATCGGCTGCCACAACCAGGGCGAAATACACCATGAATCCACGCACTCCATGCCGTCGGGCGATTATATTTGTTGGTGTTCAGAAGTGCGAGCAGCAAGGTCGTCAGAGTAGCGCACATCACAGATTTCGGAGCGCTGGGTGACGACTTACAGAAGTACATATCAAGTACTTTGCACTGTGTACATCAATGTGGGACTTAAGGCTGCAGTAGTAACGAGTTGACACAATACTCCGTGTTGTTCGACATGGCTTGCTGGGTGATGAATGCAGTGAACCATTCTATGCAGGCTCAACGTGCAAGTCCCACACGGAGGTCCAACTGCTGTTGACTGCTGTTGAGTGTTGCTGTTGACTGCTGTTGTACTACAAACGCATACAAAGTGTAGCTAGTTGTGCCTCTGCTGGAATAAATCACTCCGACGACCGACTCTAGAGCGATTATGGGCAAAGTAGTACCTGCTGTGCCTGGTTCTGCGGAGGATTCCCTGCTGCTGCAGGTTGGGCTGCCGGGGCATGTGCGTAGCCTTGGGGATGTTCCATCCTTCCCAGACAGAGCTGAACCGTGAGATTGGGAATGCCGCCCTGCTAAGCGTAGGAGCTCCGTGGATTCCGGGGGGGGAGGTGTCTGAGAAACGGTAAGATATGCAACCATTGCAAGAACATCAGAGATCTGCTGATGACGCCTGGTATGGATATGCCACATGCGTATCGACCGTGGCCTGCCAGGAGAAATATACGCCACCACCGGTGCTTGGGGCACAGTCGGGAACGAGGGCGTCCAGTTTGTAGGAAAAAGACTTGAATGGCGCATGACGCATGTCCGGTAGAAGGCAGGGTTCTGTACGTCTGGGCATAACGAAGGCACCCTCCCCAACAGACATCGTGGTGCATCCATCCCATGATCCATCTTGTGTCAACATGCCCTCGAATGGAATGCAAGATAGCAGAAAACGGCGTTTCAGCGTGATGGACGCTATTTTGCGGATCGGCGATGTCTGAGATGGCAGCCATGGGACATGGAGGTTCCATGAGGTAGAGCGAGTACAGGCCTTTTGCGGCGCGATGGTGAAGAGAGGGGAGACACTGCGTTCGCTCGATTTTATCCTACACGACGAAAACAAGCTTCGCGGCCAGCGGCAACAGGTCGCTAGAATGAAGCGAGCCGGCTACAGGGCCATCGGCATCAGCATCGCTATCGCCGTGGTACCCCAACCTGGTAGATTTGGACGTTTTTGAATTCTGCAGTGAATGGGCGTGCCTACGTGCCTACACCGTATCTACATGTACTGTTGTTACAGTATACAGTACAGTAGTCCTACACATGTAGACCAATGAATAGTGTAGTCTATCATGAGACTCAAGAAACAAGTTGCCTGTGTACGAGCATAAGACTACTGTGTGCCGCGGCCTCAGACACATGTCACCAGGAAGGGCCTCGGCACGAACGACGACAGCGGTCAACCTTGCATCTGTGATTCTTGTGACGTGACAAAGCAAGCAACGACGGCGGGTGGTTTTTGTGGCGGGGGGTAAGTTGATGTCGACGAAGCCGGGAACGCGACGAGTTCGTCGTTGCAGTGCACATCGATTGATGGATTAGGGTGAGCTCGCTTATGTTTCGATAACATGCCGCGGTCTCGTCCATACGGCCTTCCGCAGCAAGTGGTAGGAGGACGTTCCATTGCAGTTGATGTGAGCGATATCATGTAGGGAATGCTGAGTGTTTCTTCATTGTATTTCGCTCTCTGCACACAAAGTCTGCCGTAGATCAGATCAGATCCCTGCGTGTCGACCTACAAATGTTTGAGATGGGTGATCGGTGGGCGCAGGTATCTGCGAAGTCTTCCCCCAAGTCATAATGCAGGCGCGACCACCCGCACATTTGCACATGACCGCGGTCCATTCTCCTAGACTCATCAACACTGCTTTTCTTTTGTTTGCGGTCGAAACTACATGTTATCCCTCGCCTCAACTCATCTGAAGGCTAAAACGTGGATTGAGCAATCACAATATGTAAACCGTTGATTGAGCAATCACAACTTGTAAAGCGTTGATTGAGCAATCACACAATAAACCCGAGAACAGGCCGTTGGCTCGTTGCGTGCGGTGTCATTTGGCGCAAAACCTGGCGCCGCGACTGCAAATGTATTTCGGACCAACTCTGTAAATCACGCAGGAGTGATAACCCTTCCTTCGAGAAGCCACCTCCGCGCTCAAGTGAAACCTCGGAAACAGACAAACGCCCAACGTCCAGGAAACGGAGTGGGGTTACCGTATATGACGCAAGATAAGACACCCCCTTAACCACTTTTCGAAGCTCGATTTCTCAACTGCAGGAAAAGTCACAGCGGCGTCGAAACCGTCTCGTCAAGAGCTTTTCGAAAATGTATCGTTTCGTTTATGCATCCTCTTCGTCGTGGAGTAATCGAGCTTTGAAAATTAGTCCAGGGGGTGCGTCATCTTTTGTTATGCGTTATGTTCCATGGCCAAGAAAATATCATAAACTACTGTCGGTTGCGTAAGATATCACGCCCTGCACCGATTTTTGAAGCTCGATATCTCGGCAGGAAAAGAAGCGACGGTGCCGAAATGGCGGCGTTGGAACCGTCTCTTGAATCGGTTCAGAGGGTATGATATCTTATGCAACCCATGCATATGGGATGCACCAAAATACGTGATTCATGTCTGGATTCTTGAGTAACGCCTAATGGGGCATTCAGAAGCTTACAACGCCCATACGTCACTCTGTTCACGAAAACGATCATGGTTTGTTGAGGCGTTCAACCAGAGGTCTTCGTTCTCCTCTTTGGCATGCTCTTCGTGATACGTACCCGCAACACCCAAAGCGAGACCGACCACCAGAACGCGCGCGAGAGGAAGAGCTCCAGTTCATCTCGTGAACAGCGTTTTGAATATGTCTTCAGGATGCTAGTCTCGGCCAGTTTCGTATTGCGCGTGCTTTCCGCCAGGCTGGAAAGAGTAAACCAGGCGATCGGGGTGAATGTGGTGAGCATTGGTGCCGATATCTGGAGGCCAAGACAGTGTGATTTATGCACACTGGACAAACGTAGGAGTTTCTGGACTACGCATTCAACGTAGGTTGTTAAGCACTGCTGCTCTAGGTTGCATAGCTGTGTCGGTACACGGAGTCGTTTCCGTGTCGATAGCCTGGTGCGTGTTGACTGTGCTGCCCCGTGAATGGAACATCTGTGTCATCTACGTACTTCGTTGTTATTTTACTTCCTGGGTAACACTGTGATTCACCGCGAGCAGAACAACAGCCACTCGGATAGGAGTCGGTTCGTAGTAACGCTCTCGTCCATGATACGTGTGTGGGGTGGCTTTGGGGGGGAATTGGTAGTGCGTGAGCAAGGTTAAACCGAAGAAACGACAGCTTGTGGCTTCCCTCGTGGGCAGTTGAAGGTTAGCCCGGCAAGCTATGCTGACGAGGCCGAATCCGCCACCCGCAGCTGCAGCCGGTGCGAGTACTTTCGTAGTTCGAGGTGCTTGTCTCATGAATGCACCCCAGGATTGCACATGCGTCGCATGGGAAATACGAGAATCGTTCGTCTGAGATGGCCGGAGTGTTAGAAGAGGTCGTGTTCCAAAGTCCAAGAAGGCAACGCCAGAAAACACGGAGAATAGCATTCTTCGACTCTTTCAACCCTATTTCCGCGTATGCAGGAAACTATCAAGAGTCTCCCGTAGAAAGTGCCCGTTTCGTATTCAATTATCGACCTGGCAGCCAAGCGCCAGCTACAGTAGTACAAATCGGTGGCACAGCCCGCCTGTATGTGTCGATGGTTTTGTTTTCCATTTGATAATCGGCGCTGAATGCGGATGCGCACGCACTAAATAAGACGGCAACGGGCTAGCAGCAGGCTGAACGTGTGTCGTTATGATGGCGACACCCACAGCCTGTGGTACCCATCATTGGACACGTACGGGAGTTGAGCTACTGGTACACTGCTGGCAAGCTGCTGCCACCGCTGAAACATTTAGGTCACCACCAAAGGACTTGATCCATTGCTTAAGACCGCTTCGTCCTTCCTCAGATGGGCTGGTACTATTTTGCATGTGGTGTACGGACAACATCACCTCACGGTCGTCCTTTCACGTCGTTCAGGTGGGCACACCACGCCACGAGGGTTGAAGTGACAAGGAAGCGTGAACTGTGGTGATTTTTTTTTCATCATGTCGACTTTTCTCCCAAGAATGCCAAGCACCAGACAGCGCGAGGTTTTCAAGCACCGAGTATGAAATGTTCTTGAATGAACAAAAACCAGCCAAATTTTGTGAAGGTGAGGCACACAGCACCCCTCTGAAACGGCTCATTAATGCATATTGGTATAGTCTATGTGCCTTCAGATGACAGTACGTAATTTACACATGAATATCCACGAATCAGTCTCAAACAATACCGGGCCCCCAACCTATGTTGTAATTCGGCAGATGCGCAAGTCTGGCGTCATCAAGCAGCGTGACCGCAACTACGTACTTACGACGCGGAATTTGACCGGAACCTTCTAGGATCTCCAATCGGCGAACCTTTCGTGAATGCCTACACAAAACAACTACCTGTTTTTTCCAAACAAGCTGTAGCCCGTACCACAACACGGCCGCTTCGAAACACAATCTACGATTCCAATTCGAGCAACTACAGTTGAACACAGACAGCATGAAACTCTGTTCTTTCGGCCAAGATAGCGCTCCTGACAATCGTTCCAGCCACCGGACGCTAGCCTTGAGACCTCTCCGCACGTTTGCGACTACGAAAACATTCCTCCAGGCAGAAAAATCCTTCACATGCAACCTCTAAGCCCTGCACCCTCACGTCATCCGTCATACCCTACCCTGCCAGAGCACGCCGAGTGACTGCATTCAACGGGGGCATATATACGGCCTTCGTCGATGTGCGTGCCCCTGTGTGCAAAGAAACGCAAAACAACCCAAAAAAAGAACATATTAGTCTAGTACTTTCTCGGCGCACGCCACGCATAGGGAGCACCTCGGTGTCATTTTAATGTCGCTCTTGGTCTGTCTCCCTGTTCCCCTTCTCCCTACAAATGATAAAACGTACGTGCTCGAGGATTGCTCGGAGAGCAGTACCAGCTCCTCGTTCCCTGGATGGCTAGCATCATTCTTACCTGCTCGATTCCGGAAGGGATTGGCGGCGGCAGCAGCAGCACGACGCCACGCCGTCGGTCGACGCAGCGTCCAGCACTCATGCCGTACCGTACACTGTGGTAAAAGTCTTGGAGCTAACCGCTCTCCGCTACAGTGGTGGGCCTGACTTGCTTTGAAGGCTTCTGTCCTGTTCCTACGGAACTTTCTCTCCTCTGTCCCGTACTGTGCTGCTTTGGAGAAGCCGCTGAGAGAGTTTCTGGCGAAACCTTCTGCCATCCGGGGTTACTACCTATGGGCGTCGTTGCTCCCCCCTCTCCTCTTACCTCCCCATCCCTCTCCTCTATCCCATCACCCGCTGCCTCGGTCCCGGTCGCCGCCGGTACGAACATCTCTAGCACAACCCCAGACTTCAGGCCTGCCGCCTGGTACCGCTTACGCTGCAGCCTCAGCTCCGCCTTGAGTCTCAGATCCTCCGCCTTTTTCTCGCGACTCATCCATTGTGCACCAGTGCCCTTCAGCCGGCCCGCCGCCTCCAGCGCCCGCCGTGACGGCGCGCGGGGCCTTCTGCCTAGGCCGCTGGCCTCGGCCTCCGTCTTGGCATCCTCCCTCGCCTGCCTAAGGACGAGAAACTCTACAGATGGGGCCATCCCCGACGAGTCGGCCAGCCGGTTATTGGGAAAAGAGGGGGGTTTGGGTTCGGCGGCGGGAGCTGGAGATGGGAGGGACGATGCAGCAGGTTTAGCGGTCGTTTTCGTCAGGTTTTCCCCAGTCACCGTGGAGCTGGAAATCGCGCCCCGTTCGTCCTTTCCACCCGAACTCCTCTTTTCGCTTTTGTGCGTGCCTGAGCCATCGGCGTTATTGTCTTCCTCCGTTTCCTGTCGCCCTCGTCGCGCGTTCTTAGCCCCATTGCGATCAATGTTTCTCGGCGCTCGTTTTTTTTTGGCTCCAACTGATGCAGCAGCAGCAGCTGCTGCTGCTGATGCTGCTGCTGCTGCTGATGATGATTCAGTGGGAACCTGGCTGCGAGGTTTGCCCGTGGTTGCCTTCCTGCAGCGATGTGACGCAACAGGCAACGGTAGGGTGTCCCACGAACATGTCAATGCTCTCAAAGGAAGGACTTCGGTCGCAGGTTTCTGAAATGCCGACAAGCGAAACGAAACAACACTTTGTTGCTCATCTGCGGCAAGAAAAAAACACGAAGCTAGAAAGAAACGGCTGCATCGACCCCATTTCCTCTAAAGGCGGACCCTCCGCCGTAAGACGGTAGCAAACACTTGCTTCGCGATAGGTTCAAAATGAGGTACCGCCTGTACTCCTGACACTCAAACCCTCCTTGGCTACAACACTGAACCAATACCACCAACCTTGTGACAAGTGGGGTAGCAGCGCAAAAAGCTTACCCAGCACTGTCTGGAAGGGCAGGCGTTTCCTTGAAGAGTTGCACCATTGGGCCCTTCTTATGGGAGAAGCAGTACACGGCGCGCGTTGCACCCGGCAGGCCGTAGTCGGGCCGAGCGTCACATCTGGTACGGGCGACGATTGCAGGCATGTCGAATACTCAGATATTCGTGGAACCTTGAACTCATTTCTTGTCAGGAGGCTACCATTGACTGTTATTCCTTGTCAGCGACTGACACCGCACGTCCCTACCAAGAAGACTTAAGTCTCCATTTCAGGTCGTTTCTGATACGGTCTCCATCCATCAACACACGAACAAACGGCAAGAATGTACTTTTGGCGTGACGTGGGTTTGGCGATGGGCCTGGGTGCAGCCCTGTCCCTATGAAGATAAATGCCCGAAAGGTAGGCAGAGATGAGTCGCAAAGCATCAACAACGGCATGGTTTCGTTCCGCAGCCCGACAATGTTCGTTCGCTTGTAGAACGCAGAAGACATCGGACTTTGCAACGGAAGGCTCACAAAACGTCCTCTGCCTTCTACGGTGGTACAAAAAACGACCAGACTGCAGGTGTTGCTTGTCAAGGAAGTGGAGGACTGCGAGTCTCCGTCTTCGGTTTCGGCCATTCTCACCCTGGGAAGAGGCAGGCGCTATCCCGCGACGACTGGCTCTCACGGTTGTTCCCACCGGATAGCCCCGGCCGGTTGGCGCCTGGGATTTGGAGAAAACAGTAGTGCAACAGATTGGTAGAGACAGATCAAGCGTGTATCGAGGATGAACCGAACGAGGTGGAGCTACCGCTTGTTGTTACACGCTCAAAATTTCCACGGAAATGAGCAACAAGTCACCGTCATCCCGGGGGTACGCTTCAGCCTAGCACTTTTACATCTACGAGCATATACACAATGCAAAACAACACTAGATAGACAACAAAGCCTTTCGCGCCCCCTCCCTTCCATCCACTTTGGTCATCTCACGTTTCAACACTTGCCCCCGAGTGCCAGATGTCTTCCCCGGCTTAGGGTGGGATGAGGAAGAGGGCGCGCCGCTGCTTCCTGTCGAAGGTAGTCGGGATTGGTCCGACGCCGCCAAGTTACCTGGGGACAGTTGGGTTTGAAAGGGGGGTTCGGCAAAAACGTCGGTGGTTTCGAACGTTCTGTCGTCACTTCATTGTTCCGTGGTGCGATATTTTCCTGAAGGGGAAGAAGACATCTCAACATCACACTTCGGTTATTTGAGAAAGGCCTGTCGCATTCGCCGTTCGCTCCCGACAGCAGCAAAATCATAGCTGAAAGTACTACGACGTCGTACCGGAGACGAAACCAGCAAGAAACTAGAGCGAAAATATTAGGGGTCTATTGAGTGTGAATTTTGCAACAAGGGGGGGTCAAAGGTGAAGCACAAACACCGAAAGTTTCTGCATCGCGGCCGCTCTTGATTTTACCTTTGTTGATGCTGCATGGCGGAGGAGACTTGGCGGTAGCTGCCGCCAGTTTCCTGAAAGCTGAGTTCCATATGAACGAGGCAGACGAGATGAAGCAACCACACGAAGGGGTTATTAGTGAAGGCAGGAGATGTGACACAGTTTGTGGCGAGGGGTGGCTCATGCGAGAATAACGGTTGACTGTTCAGTTTACGTATGAACTGTGTGGGTGTTCGTGTCTCAACAATGTATCTGTCTGAAAACGTGAAAGAGGGGCGCAATGTCGAAGACACTCAAAGTGCCAAGGAAAAAAGTTATCAACAAAATGACCTTGCTGCACGCACGGCCACGAATCCTGATTTGATCGAGCTGACAGACGAGAACGGACGCCTCAGCTGCTTGTTCCTCACCGTTTCCTTCACGGGTGGCTCTGAACAGTGCTCCGTGGCGGTTGGTGGTGAACTGGCCCACCCTCTTATGCAACTGACAGGTGCAAGGTGGAGAGTCCAGAGGTCCGTACCTTGCCAGATTCGAGCACCCCCGGTGCTGCATATTCGAGAAGGGAGCATAGTGGGCCTTATTCGTACCGTTCAATTCTCGGCGTGAAATCAATACACAATTGCCTCTGCCCTGAATGCGCCGCGTGACACGGGAATCGCTCCAATCACAACAACAAAAACAATCGTGACTGCACCGCAAAGCACAGAGAACTACGCAGAAACTCTGAAAGGTAGATCACACCGTCGATAAGTCCACGGGAAGACTCTCAACTCACCCATAGCCCAGCCGGGAACCTTCAATGTCACCACCTACCAGGAATATCCGCGAACGCACGACTCCTCCGAATCCGGGTCCCCTTGCCAGGGCGAGGTGGACAAGATTTGTTCTACCCTTCAGGTCGTCACATTCAAAATCAACTGGGTAATAAGGTCACAGCTTTCGAAGCAGACAACATCGCCAGGTCAAAGCTGAAAGTAAAGCGACCGCGAATCTCTGAAGGTTCGCTGTTCGTTTCCACCTGACAGCGAACTGGGATGGGTAGTTCCTTCGCGGGAGGGACTGAGGTGTGAGCTGAAGATGACGGGGATGCCGACAGGACGGGCATACCGGCGCGACCGGGATGCGATGCGGAAGACTTTAACACGCTGAGTGCTTGTTTCACCACCGCGCCGTGAGTGGGCCTTGGTCGCAAGGGGTAAGGGCCGGGACCTGCACGGAAAACAGAGCCCAAGAAAGGGATACGGGTCAGGAGAGGAAACGGGAGGCAAACAATGTGGGCGTCCTATTCGGAGGTGTGTAAGCACCACCCCGTAGTTGTCGGCAGAACGGAGGGTCAGAATAAACATCATCGCCGTCTCTCATTCATCAGATCAGCTTCAAGAGGAATACTCTAAAGTTTGGGATGTCGAAGGTTGCTGGGAGCATGGTACACGATTCCTGTCGCTCTCGACTTTTCGCCCGTCTTTGATGTCAAATAGCGAGTGGGGGGAGTGTAGTCATAGTCGTGCATGCCGTAGTCGTTAGACCATTGACCTCGCATCCCTACAAAGCCGGGACGGAGCACGCCGGGTTCTCACCGGACCAGGCTCTCACATCACCAAGCGCGAAGCGCCGTGAGATATTCGGCGAGTCGCATGAAGGGTGCGCTGCATCCTGCTAAGGGTGTTCGGCATCTTGTGCTCACTTCCTTGCGTACGGATGACAGCTGCGGATGACTTACTTTATTTTCTGGTGCTTCACTTCCATAGACAGTTGTAAGCACTGTGTAACTGCCTCGAGGGTGCTTGACCATTTTAACACAACGTGGTGCGATCATCCCCCTTGCGCGGAGTGAGGGTTCTCCACCCCGCACAACATGATCTACTCCACCACCATTATGGTTAACGCCAAAAAAAAACAGAGGTAAAAAAAAAAGACGGTAACCTGGTTGCCGAGTTCACGAAGTGAATTGGCTTGTTTTACAACGTCGTTGCCAAGCGGCAAAAAACCCAACCCCGATGGCAAACACCGGGGGGGGGCGGCTTGTTTTCCAACGTCGTTGCCAAGCGACGAAAACCCAACCCCG